CAGAAGTCTCCCAGAAGTCAGTGCGAGGCAATGAATAGATTTTTAATAGACATCTCTGGCTTACATTACTCAAGGCAACAACTGGGCACACACTGCCTTGTTTTCACAGTCCTCTAACAAGCTGCCTAGCAGCACCGTGGAGAAAAGCTCCTGCTTATGTGAGAACAATTGATATTTAAGTTAACAACATGCTGAATGAGCTAAGTAGGAGAGCTTGTTGTGTTGCAATCCTGAGTCAAACACAGAGTGATTAGTTCTTTAGTGCCATCATCCTGTGTTTTTATGTAGTGCTATTAGTTATTTTTAAGGAAATGACTTCAAACTGTTCACTCTGAATATTGTCATCTTCTGTAATTGTTTTCGATTACATAGCAGGGTTATTTTCGACCCTTTCATCGTTTTAATGCAACACAGGCTCCTTACTCAACCCATCAAACAGAAGTATTACTGCTGCATTTGCTATGTAGTGAAAATAATGTGGAAATGTGAACATGAATATTTCATTTTCAGGAACTGATGAAGTATTGGCAATGTCAGCAAGGACAAGTGCGACCCGAGCAACCCAATCAAAATACGTGCCTCAAATTTTACAATGTCGGAGCTCCAAACAAGCACAAGGTTATTTAATCAAGGCAAGTTAGTGGTAGATACGTGGCTTCATATTAAGAGGCTCATCTGAAATGTGGAGAAGGATACTAATTAAGACAAATCCTTGTTCACTGGTCATAATTTTACAACTACTGACAACTAATACATTAGTTAAATTTAATTGGTCACAACTGTCGGCCTGCTGCACAAAACTGTGTAAGGATAATTGAAGCTTATAAAGCAAAGTGTTACCGGCGTGACAGCTGAGGATACCAGCTGAAAGCATAGTTAGGGACAGTCTGGACAGCCATTAAAATGGGCTGAATTAAGACTCCTGCTTGCAGAGATTTTCCTTTTGCTGCATTATTTCACTTTTGCTGTGGAGCTGCTGTGACTCTTGACTCTCTTCTGAAAGACCCCTCTCCAAACCTTTCAGTGGCCATTATCTGTACAGCAACATCTTTGGACTGGCGAAGTGACATTAAGGCGTCTCAATGTCAATAGCCCATCGAGAGAGTCAATCTAAGTTAGAAATGAGATGATGTTAAGCTTTGGTGAGATGTGTGTCAGGATGGTCAGTGTTGTGCTGCTGGATCACCATATTGTAAGTGCCTTGCTTTTAAAGACAGTGAAATAAAAATAAAAAAAATGCCACGCTCTATCCTGTGTCTTTGTGTTAATTATTCATCTCTTGTTACGTGCTTAATATGTGTCACATATGAGTATTTTTATATAAATCCCCCTCTTTTCATGTAAAATGTGAAAATATATTTGATGACTAATATTGAGTTTCGGGGCGGTGGCGTATCAAATCAAATCCTGCCCATCCATTAAAGCTACACTAGCTAGCAGAGCATAGAGGCCACATACACCCTCACACTGGGAAATATGTCACAATGCAGAAGCTAAAGACACTCTGACTGCATTTCACTGTGACTTTACACAATTTTCAAACCTGTTAACTGGATGTTAGTACTGCAATTATGTCACAAGATGTTTTTGATTGAAGTATTTGTCGTTGTAATTAAGAATTATTTTGTGGTGCACTGCAGGCTAATTATTGATCTTTTGTCCACTGTTCCGTTTTACGGAATCCCTGAGAGTGAATGGATGAAAGAATAGCCAAAGTTGATATAAACAGCAAGGGTACATTTATTTCCAACAACGGTGAGGGGCATTTGGATACTTTTAGGGCTTCAACAGACCATATAAGTAGATCCCATATTGTCTCAGCAATCAGGAGTGCCATTAGAGCAAGCAGGATGGCTACATAAGGACTGTTGCATCATTGGATGGATGCATATTAATGTATCAAATATTGTCCCACAGCCCCAAACGATATCCTCAATTTCAACTTCGTATTACGGCTTGGCCTATCTTCAGATCTTAAGTCAAACTAATCACCTAAGCTTATCCAACAAACTTGTTCTGTGCTCACGGTGGTAAAGTAAGAGATATTTTTAATATTTAAAGGGAATAATTGATAAAAAACTAAGTCTCGGGTATGTTTGAAGTGAATCAGGGTAAGAAAACACAACTGTACTCTATCTCATTTGGCAGAGAAATTATTATTCTACACTAAGAAATCCTGCTGTCAGTATGTGTTGATTTGTAAAGGACAGGTGTTGATTAGTTCTCAGGTTGTCGGTTCGCACATTGAACCTACATGGCTTTAAGAGAGGCGTTCAAAACCAACAGAAGTGCTGAAATAAGTAAATCTGATGGTTGCGGATTTAACTAAGCACTTGAATCGGGTTGATATGTGTGCTACATGTTAAATAAGCACTGTTTGTCTTTGAAAATAATAATTGCCTTGAAAGCCTTGTTTAAAAATGTCTCATTGTTTAAGGATTTTGTAATAACAGTGCACAGTTTTAATTTGTTTATGTAACTATGTAGCTTCAGTTTCAGAAGTGGCATTATTGTGTGTTCTTGTAAGCACACCCAGATATTACTACTTGAATGCAATCAAAGCATGATACAGCCAAAAATGTGCTACACATTTAGATATAAAGTGAACATTTCAAACAGAAGTATGTTATAATAATATTATTTATAAGCTGTAAAATCATGAGAGTATGATGGCCTGAAAACAATGTAGATTTGCCCATGAATCCACTCACACAGACACATTGGAATTAAAGTTATAGTACAATATGGTGTAGTGATGGGTTTACAACACCATATGGTACTGTAGCTTTCAATTTAATTGCTTTTCCTGCAAGATCAGATTGAACAGAGTGTACTTTATATTGTCTTTAATACTATTCTTCTCTGTGTTGAGTTTGTTTTCATGCAGTTTCTTATACACTTATGTTCTTGGCTTTTTCCTTTGTTTCCTTTGAGATGAGACAGTCTTATAAGCTCCTGTGGTTTTTTAATCTCACTTTCACTAATTGAAATGTTGTCTTCTTTCTCTGATTCATCATTTCACATGCATTATGCAACTGAACTAAACAAAAGCAGCAAAAAGCATTCCACATCTCTTGATTAGCCAAATTTCCTCATCTAGACAGCAGAGCCTTGATGTGTATTCAGCAGCATTCTCTTGCTCTTTTGAAGACAAAGTTGAGAATCACAAAACACGCTCTAATTTAAGATTTCAATAATGGGCTATTGTGTAGAGAATCAGATCTTATCATGAAACTCTGTAAACATACTTTTGAGAGAATTTGTTTGGAAACAAGTCTCAGAACACACACACACACACACAAGTGTGGTTGTTTTTCCGAACCTTTTCATGGCTCCCAAATGCAATGTCCCCTTCAACAGTGCCAGCTCCATCATTGCCCTTTTAACGAGGTGATATCCAGACACATGGGAGCAGATGTTGCAAAGAAAACACATTGTGACGTGATTGTGATCGATGCGCACCTCCTACCACATCCACTGCATAATTTGGTGGACGGCATCAGGATAACAACCTGCATTATGTGCAGACAGCTGTCGCCATGGCGCCCGGGCAGCCATCGCACTGGCTCCCACCTTATTTCGGGCTGAGGCGGGGAAGCCAATTAGAGTGATTTACAGCTTGCTTGTGTCGTCACCACCTTGAAACCTGTGTCCTGGTCCAGCTAAAGAAAATGCATGGCTGCCTGGGTGGTAATAAGGAGGACACTGCTGAAGAGAGCAGCAGAGCTGTTTATTGGTGAAATGTAATGTAATTACACTCCAGACGGGAGATCTTTTTAATGCTAGCTTGTCCTTTAAGTAAAGTTGATTACTTTTTATTTTCAGGGGACATAAGGAGTGTGTTGTTCTCTACAAAGCCATGGATTATTAGAATATATTTAACAGGGATATCTATCCTCATGTTGATCTGTTTACTTCAATGGCAAGACATATTTTAAGCCATTTTAAGTGTGAAGCTGTATATATGTGCATGTTATTCAGTCTTGAGTGCAGTGTTTTGTGATTATGTCAGAGAATAGATGTGTCATGTTTTACCTATGTAAAATAATCATTTCTATATTATAATAAGTTCTATGGGCACGCATAATGCACTATAGCCATAGACAGTGTTTTTTTTCTGTCTCTTTGTTTTGCAAACTATGCACACACATTTGTGACCTATGTGTCATTCTCATGCACGCCCAAAATCCTTTGTAAATTCCTTTGAAACAAATATACATTACCAATGAGGCAAGTGCAGCCTGACTTAAAATGCGAAAACCTGAATGATGTAAATGAGCAGCGGCAGTGGGCTTGAAGGGTTCTCGCAGTAATGAATCCGACACACAGTATTTGATGAAATGGTGAGACATATGGAAACTGGGAGATGGCAAGACCGTGCGAAATACTAGGAAGAGGACTTGTGATTGACTGTCACCAGCTATCCGAGCAAGCTTTGAAGTGTAAAATGATGATAGGATACAGGTTGAATGCATTTGCACTTCCATCAACAGCTTGAGAGGTCACAGGAATGGCACCTCTCACTGTGAAAGAAAGGTTCAGTGAAAATGCAGACAGCTTCAGCTATAAGATTCACAGAATATGTTATAACATCAGACTGACTGTGGCTAGAAGAAGACCTGAGTGTTAGAATGTGGGGACTCAGAGATCACAATCACTTGTTATGGACATATGGCTGCATAGTCTGGTAGTAAATGCAATAGGCTACATTTTAAAAGCAATCTTTAGGCTACCACATATTAAAACAACTCTGAATTCTTGTGTAGTCAGTACTAAGTAGCATACAGCAACTCTGCTAAACCTGTGTAAACAGGGGGGCAGAATATTGCTCCATTACATTAATCAGTTAAATGAATGAACACGACAGAAGTTGCTGCGGAATTATTTATATGAGAGGATAAACAGACGAGCATTAACGCCCCCTGCCCAGTAGGTGGCGGTAACAAAAAAGCTGGGTTATGTTTTATCGACGACAACAAAAGAAGAAGCCGTCGCTCGCTAATGACATATTTCCCCGCCCGCAACTTTAAACATTAGCAAGTGAGCTCACGAGGGATACAGCTCTCTGGAGAAGATGCTCAAAAAGAAGTCAAGTAGCGCTGAGAAGAAGAGGAAACACTCGCAGTCTGAAGAACGACATGAGAGCAGTAAACGCAGAAGTACTGAGCCCATTGCGGAGGTGAGATATTCATTTGTTTTTATACGTAGCTGCAGCTGTAGGCTAGTTAACTTAGCTATATGTGTTGTCGATAGTCCGCACAGGGTACGGCATTCAGAAGGGTCCCATTAGCGGTTTCCCAAAACAAAGACGTGTCTATCTTACGCTCACCCTTAAGAGAACTGTAACTTTAAAGGTTTAACAACAGTATTGAAAGCCACCCAGGCTGCTGTTCAGTCGTTAATTTTGGCAACCCTGGCACAAAGCTCTGATCTTTTTCGTCATTTGCAGGCTGAAGTTGTTTAATCTTTTGATATATTAGCGGTGCACTCTGCTCTGACGCTGTCCGTGCAGAAGACTCCGCAAGCTTAGCTCGGTGCTGTGGACCATCCATGGTGTGGATAGCTAGAAGTTGGGTTTGGCAGTCTGTTGTCAAAGACTCCATAGATATGTCAAACATGGAGCAGAGAAGTGAATCTAGGTAGTTGCGTTTAACTTAAGACTTTGGTACAGTTGTCTTTTAAATCACAGTTGCTGCATCAATCGTTGGTTCCATTAAGCTGTATGCATTAATGCCATCGACACAGTGATTTGATTTATGGTACAATAAATGATTAATCACAAAAAATGGACAAACATTTTTGAGTTTTGGCCCCTGTATTGTGAAGTTGTTGTCACATTTAAGTGGGATATAAAACATGTCCATTTTAGTTATTGTTGACGTAAGTAAAACTGATTTAAACACTTTTATGGGGTGGGAAGCAGCATCACACACTACAACATCACGGGCAACGTCTTTCTCCATATAACTAACATGAGGATGTAAAAATGTTTTGACACAAAACCGACATACTGGTTTATTTTCTGTTTTATTGTATGTAAAAGTAGCACACCAGCAAATTCAAGAATATTTAATATCTTCAGTACTGAATTTAAACTTAATGTTACAGTGTTCAAACCTTCAATTTCTTTAGTTACGCTAACAGAGTTTTTCAAGTCCTCCCAGGCAGTGACTCAGTAACACATTGGTTTCCTATAGCACGAGTCCAAGGATGAACTCGCTGACGCCGAACTGGACAGGATTGGCAGTGACATTGAGGACGGCGGACTTGACCTCAGCCTGCCATTCCAGCCCATCACTGCTTATGTCGGTGACAAGCGGGAGATGCTGGAGCAGTGTTTCCGTGTGCTGGGGGACAAGAAGCTCAAGAAAATGCTGCCTGATGAACTCAAGGTAGTTGTGTTAGCACGATATATGATTGTAAACTCATCATCTTTGTACGCTTGGAGTAAGACAGGCTGAATGTAAATGTCAATTTTAGATGACATTTTCTCAACGTTTGCAAGGTCTCCCTCTTCAAACCCATGTGTTTTTAATTTATAATGAAATTACATAATGACAACTGATCTAGGGCATTAGTTAGCCTCATTTCTCAACAATTGCGATGTAGTTTTGGACCTCATAAATTTTGTCCACCCCAAACTTAAAGAAATGTCTTATTTGCCGTCAGGCTGTATTTTTCTGACATTGCTTTGTGGTTTTAGGGACCACATTTTGTGTATTGGCAAGTGTTTTCTTCCCACATTTTATGGCCATATTTTGTACCGTTGACTATATTCCAACAGTTCCGGCTTTGGCTGGAAAAGCAACAACACCTTGAGCAATAGTGAAAGAACAGTTTTTTTCCATCTTTTTGTAGGCATATACTGTCTGTTGCATTTATTATGTCCGATTGAAAGTCACCATATCCACATTTTACTTCCCCAGATCACTTCAACAATTGCTTTTAAGTTTTATAGAAAAATTGCAGCTGTTACTGTTATTTTACCTATAGATTTTTATCTATAGGTATAAATTAGCTATGGAGCTGTACCGCAAAATGGAAAAGTAAAGTTAAAAACGTAACTACTTTAGTGCCAACTCTAGAAAAGCATATGACATTTTGAATTAGAAAGTGATGACAAACGGAAATAAGGCCATAGGCTTTTGCTGTTTGAGGCTAGTAAGGCAACCCATTGTCAAAGAGACCATTTAAGCACATTGTCGTTCACAGGACTGTAGTTTAGAGGAAATCAAAACGCTGTGCTGGAAACAACTGGAACCGATCACAGAGAAAAATCTCATTCAGATCTTAGCAGGTAAGACTTGAAGCCAGTTTTGAAATGTTTTCACAGCTTCATACATTCTGGACTCTCTGTGCTCAGAACAGTCTAATATTGCAAACAAAGCATTATCCCTCTCTGAAATCTGTTGTTTGTGTCTAGGGGAAGATCTGACATCTGGAAATGGCGACAAAAACACAGAGGAGACCTTGGAAATCCAGTGAGTGAACGGTTTGATAACTTATTCAGGGCACAATTTCAGAGTAAAAGTACAATATGTTCTCTTGCTTTTCTCCTCCTTTTTTATGTTTTTAAATTGTTTTTCTTCCTCCCCTCCCATCAAGGCAAGACAATAATGTGGACTCTACATCTTGCCTCAAAGAAACTGCAAAAACGGAGGAGCCTAAGCAAGGTAATTAGTATGTAATGTGCAGAATGAAAATCCCCGAGGCACTCAATGAAAGACTTCAAAGACAGAAAAAGTTTTATTTTAAAGGGTTTGGTGTCATTTTCTTTACAGAGGGTGGTGGTTATGGCGAGGAGAGCGACGTCCTAAGCATAAACGCAGACGCTTATGATAGTGACATAGAGGCACCCAAAGAGGAGCAGACCGTTAAAGCTGTGAAAGTGGCGTGCGGCAGCAGGGAAAGCGCTGATCCCATTGTAAACCCCGGCCCACCAAATCCCGAACCTCCCACCGCCCCTCGAACTACGGAAGCCAAGAAAGACATCCAAAGTGACATAGACAAAAGCGTTTGTGAGATTTTAGCGTTTTCGTCCACCTCGAGCAAAGAGGAAGCTAAAGAACAGAGTGCACCTCCGCAGCCAACAGACGTTTGTTTGCCCGCTGAAGGCGCATCCGTTTCAAGCCGCACACCTTCAGTATGTCAGCCGTCAATTCAGCAACTGGAGCTCCTGGAGTTGGAAATGAGGGCGAGGGCCATCAAGGCTCTGATGAAAGCAAGTGATGGGAAAAAGCCTTGTGTAACGAAAAATGTATAGCCTGTTTTATTTGTGTTATGGTTTATAGGCCTTTTATATAATCAATTTACTGCTTAATATATTTTGTTTATGCTTTACACTGTTGAATGACACAATTGACAATGATTTTCTGTCTTTAACCATCCAAACCATGTTGTGTTATTACTCCATATTGGAATGATGTTACAGGCTGTTTAATGCCAAATTAAACCGATAAAGGCCTGTCATATACCCACTGAGTGAACGTCGTCTGGGATGATTAACATAATGGTATTTCCAGGTGTATTTTTCTCTCTGGTCACTAGATGGCAGTGTTTACCTGCCACAGTGCATGTGTCTAATCTGTGCAGAGGAGAGCGAGAGATGATTTATTTGCCCACATTACAGTCAAAATGGCCATGGCAGCGTGAAAGTCAAGTTCTAGTAATGATGTTATTTAGTAATGCACCAGGTTATAATGGATCTCTGTTAGGCATGGAGAACAAGAAAAATTGTTCCCATGGCATTACAGACACAATACAGAGAAACCCAAAATTGAAATAAATCTGACTATTAGACCAGCTGTCCTCGTCTATACGTCAAATTAAAGGACCTGCCATTTTTATCAACCAGATTAATTTTAAACTTTTTTTATTTTTTTATTTCTGTACCTCTACATAGGGGCTAGAATTAATAACATGCTCTCGCCTATTAGTGTAATGTTGCTGTATTTATTCGAAGCTGCTTTGTTCCTGTAAAAACTGTAAGGTTGCTGTGTGTGTGCATGTGTGTGCGTGTGCGCACGCAATTACATGCAGATGCAGAGCAAAACAGCTCTCTACCCCACCAGCCCAAAGGAGACAATGAAATGTACGATAAGAAGCCAGTTGCCTCCTGGGTATTTGCATTTAAAAGGGCTCTTTCATGGGAGGAATGAGCGTGGGGAGGGTTAAATGTGTCATTCTCTATGCTTTTATGTGCAGGTATCTTTGGTTCTCATTGGAAAACGTCCACTTTAGCGCAAAAGGGGATACAACAATTCTAAAGTGCTCGTGGTGTCTGCGATTGGTGAGTATTTATCGGTGTCATTTTCCTGCTATTAGAATGCCAATTATGATTTGGTGTGAGCAGATAAATGGCCTTTTAAGCAGACCTCAAAATGAGTGGGCTGTAAAATGGATTGATGGAGGTGAGGTGATACTGTTTTGTTGGGGGAGTACTTTTTGAATTCAGATGAACCTTGTGAACCGTGTTGAAATATTGCAGTATGATGCTTCCATGAATGGTGCTATTATGAAAGTCAAAAACAAGGATGTGCAAAAAAGTTCTTGTGCCCCACCGGTTCATCTTCAATAGCCGCACCTGTCATTTTCCTTGGTATTGTGACCAAGCCTCTGGTTAGTGATGCTTATTATGCTATTGTCCTCAAAAAAATGTTTCAGGGCCGTTTATCCTCTCGACTCAACTTTTTCTATGCAACAATCTGTCAAAACTTTAAGAGATTCTAGCTTCTTTTTAGGAAGGACCCATGAACATAATGTAATCCCTCACTGTTTTTTAATGTAACTGACTTCAGGTTCAATACTTCTAGAATGAAAATATCTCACTTTGATGTTACCTCAGCTCTACTTCAGTCTAATAATGTAGCGTTCTTGACATGCTAGCATGTTAAATGTTAGCATGAACATGTTTAGAATGACATGCTCACTGTAGTATCCTGGCACATTGATGTAATGCTGTATTCCAGACCGGTCGAAACTGGGAAATTTCCAAGTAATCTTCTGACCTCAAAGCATTTCAGTTCCATGGTGGTGCATCGCACTAAATGTAAACAATAAACATGGCTGACCGTGACAAACTTATGTTTCTTTGGCAAGTTTATGCACAGTTAAACCCTCAGCAGTGCCCTTGGTGTTATTTAAAAGGATGGCCATTTTATTAAAAACAAGTGAAAATTTATACGTTACCAGTTAACTGTGTATCCCTCTAGGTACATCAGTTGGTGATCCACAAAAGTCAGAAAAGTCGTAGGCTACTTCCAAATGTTTTCACATTTATGAATAACTTTTGGGTAGAGAGGATGACTTTTAGAGATTGTTTACTGTAACCAGCTACCTAATAACATTGACAATGTGTGCTTCCATGGGAGCTGCCATTGTTGTGTGACGTCATTTGGCTGCTACTCGTGAATTCTCCGAGTTCTGTTGCATAGTACTTTTTCTAGTTGGAGGTCGTAAATTTCCCAGTTCCGAGTTGCCTCGGATATGCAGCATTCGCTCAAAGCACAGCTATAAGTACTGCGGAGGGTAAGTAAAGTACATCTGGATGCTGACAAATGACAGGTGAGGCTGTTGGATGTTGCAGCTCCACTTGTCAGGCTTGGCTCTACATTGTCAGCAATGTACAAGCTCAGTCTGAGATGATTTTAAAATGGCCACTGTTGAATTACAGCATGGTGCACATTAATTCTATCCCCAAATAGTATTAATAGTCAGCAGCAAAGCTGTCTTTCTGGAACAATTTTGTTTTCTTGTGTACAGTGGGCCTTCCAGCCTTGAACTAGGTAGGAGAGCGTCACTCTTTGCTGTTGCACAAAAGTGGGGTTTTGTTTTGTTTTTTTGTGATTTCACTCCGATTTGAGGTTTCATTTCTCTTCATGTTTGTGCATTCAGTGTGTTTTGTTCTTAATAGCTACTGGAAATTGTAGCAGACGAAGCACAAGTATGTTTGTTTGTGAAAAAGACAACCTGTCAGTCCAATCTAAAACTCTAGATGTTACTGTGGTACCACAGGGATACACTGTAGGGATAAAACACACTGAAAAATGTTGATGCATTTTTTTTATTTATTTATTTTTAAAGAACATCCTGTTTGCATAAATAAAGTAATTCTCTTCAAATTTCCTCTGTAGTGTCTCTGTTCTTTCTGCAGCAAGAAATTAAATTGAACTAACAGCTCATGCTGACAGGCAATAAATAACTTAGCACCTCTGTATGACTGAATGAATTGATTTCCCCAAGCAGTGATTCAGCAGACACATTTCATTTTCTTCAAGATTCAGACCGTGTTTTCTTAACAAAGTAGAAGAGTTAGATGTAGTTTGTTTTTATTAAATGTTCAAGTCTGTAATACAGTATTACTAATTGACGTTGCACTGGCAATAAACATGATTGCCACCAGTTACACGACTGTAGAAAATGGAAGCATATAAACAAGTTTTATTTAAATAGAAAGAATACTTTAGAAATAGTAGCTGGAAAACGCCTCTGTTCATGTCCGGCCTTCATGTTTTTGATTTGCTGTTTTATATATAATTTGAATGGTGGCTCACTGAAGGCAGTTTGGACTCAAAAGAAGACTTAAAAGAATGACAATTGTTGGTAGTAGTAGCAGCAGTAGTTTCATCTCAGGTGTGGTGCACATCTGTTCACTATTCACTTCATTTATGTGCATAAATGCTTTGCTTTTTTTTTCCCTCAAAGAGGCATAAGCTTGGCAGAACCCTTTTTGAAAAATGTGAAGTGGGTGGTTGTGAGTTTGGTGCTATTTGAAAGAGACGAGCTCCCTTTTTTTTTAAAGTCAATCCCTGAAAGAGATTTTGAACATTTGATATTCCACTCCAGTGTAGTATCTGCATTTTGAGAAAATTCCTCCCCTCCACTGACTCCTCTGACATATGACTTTCACATTCCATGCATGCTTTCTCTGCATGGGGTCTGCATTTAAATGGTGCATTAATAGTATCAAACAACCATTGAAATTCTGGTGTGTAGACCAGCAAGCCAATAAAGCAAAATGCTTTTGAAGGATATCCGAGACATCATGCAGGATGGATGACCTCGCACAATCAAATCAGCATAATCAAATAAAATATCACAATATTACATCAAAGCCAACTCCCACAGCGACTGCGACTGCAACACGATCAACAAGCTCAATCCTGGGGGTATCGGTGCTTTCTCACAGAAATATTGCGGTTGATCGCCTGAAGTGAATATATTTCACAACTAATACACAAGGCTTTGTGTAAATCTGTAATATTTTGTGGCTTTTAAATGTTAATTTAATCAATGGTTAATCTTTAATCAGTAAACATGACTGATTCCCACTGAAATTAGCATGCAGACTGCAACCCTAATCTATAATAGCATGCAAAGATTTAGCTCTTCTTTGAAAATTAAGGGTGATAGCACCCAAGATAATTATGTGAGCAATACGATTAGATTTCTTTTTCTACATCAATAACAAAACACTGGGAAGCTCATTTGAGTATAATACTTATTAAAAATGTTATGTCAAATAAAATACACAATATTTAATAAAAATATGTCAGCACACAGAGTGGGGAAAAAAATCTTACAGGACTGAAGTAGTAGCTTATGCAACCATTCAAGTTTCATGAAAGAACATGACATATATATTTTGTATGTATAATAATTGGGAGTGATATTAAAATATTAATTTTGGCCTCCCAGTCATTTCCTGTTAGATTATACATTTTATTGAATTTAACAAATGTGCAATGATATCACATCTTTGGCGGGTTTCTGTAAAATCTTGGACTGAATTTGTCAAAATACTGCACTGTAAGAACAACGAACTTCAAAATAAGCACTATGAACAAACCTGAGTGTACTGTAGTGGAACACACTGATCCTAACCTAATGTGGTACTGAATATAGGCTACACATTTTTAAAGACCTGAAAATGTGAGAAATAAACTCCAAAGCCGTTCTAAATCCAGTTTCTTTAAACCAATCACACTTTCTGTGAAGCTAATCTTTAAACAGCTGCATGGTTATAGTCCCAGCTGTCCTGTTAAACAGCAATGGACCACCAAAGTGTCCCCCAGACAGATGATGGATCACTGCGCACAGCCCTGGTAACTCACACTTTTATGATGCTAGGTGAGGACTACACCATTTGTGCTGGGATTGGAAGACATTGAACTGTCAAATCGTGGTAGGGTGCCATTTATTTATTTTTTATTTGGATGATTTATTTCTCACAGACGGACTGAGCCAAGTAAATTACTTTTGTCAAAGTTGTGATAAAACTGTCAAGTTGCTTCCCACCATCAGCTGGCAAGCAATTGTATTACATAAGTAATCGTCAAAGGGAATGTTGAGAGGAGTATATTGCTCAGTGAGTTGCTGTCTCTCTTCCCATCAGGGTTTTATGTTCCTTGACTTACTTTAATGGTCCTGTCATGTGTTTTAACTACATTGCAGCATGTAGCTCAATGGGTTAAAGCCATAGATTTGGATACAAGAGTCAGAATTATTCTTAACTTTGAACATTTTAAGTTTGACACCAGCAGTTTTGAAATGCAGGTTGTGTATGTCTCTTTTGGTTTGTGTTTGACACCAGTCTCGGTTATGCCTTTTTTGTGTTTCACATGAACAAATAGGGCAAGTGTCATTTATCACTTTTGACTGACGGCTGATAGCTTTTATGATTCTTTCTGCAACCACAACCTTCAGATTCCTGTAAGTTCGAAAGCTATGGAAGATAATAAGTCAGACATATGGAGTTGTTGTCAAAGTCGCTCAAACTATTATACAATAGGCATGAGTCATACAACCAATACACTAAGTCGCACAAAAGCTTACCCCCACACTGCCACTTCAAGTCCCAACATCCATACTCTCCTCTTCTTCATCATAAGAAGGGAGTGCTATTTCAGTTGCACTTCTTGACAGCCAATTAAGCAGCAAGCGTCTGCTTTACGCTTCCCCAAACTGATTGCGTATCCCTTGCTCTGATTGTGAGGGGTTGTACAGAAACATTGCTTTTTGCAACTTAAAGTGCACTTTGGTGTGGAAAAATAGAAATGGTGTTAACTGGTGGCAATGGGATTTCAAGTGTTGGGTTTTGTACTGTATTTTTATTATTTTAATAAAATCAGAGGAGGGCATTTATGAAGCTATACACCAACTGTAGTCTTTTTGGCTTTCTATAACTCCATAGTACATTAAAGGCACTGTACAGTCATCAGCTATGGCCACATATTGAAGTATCTTGTGTTATTTGATTGGTCGCTGCTAATTCATTGAAGGGTTCACTACAGACGTTACAGTTAGGTTGAGAGAAAAAAAATGTAATCAGTTTTTAGAGTCCCCTTTACTCCACGGCTTTCCATGGGAAAGCCCATTCTTAAGAGGTGGGAAAGGGTTGCCTGCATGGAAGTGAAATCCTTGACTATGACTAACCTTATTATTCATGGAGTTAGATTGGTCTGTGACACTCTGGTCTTTTGTCAGTAGAATCGGGCTGAATGTGTCAAAATAGCGTTTCTCTGAAGAAATGATATCACATCTCTAAAATATACTGTATCAATAATAAATATAATACATAATAAGTTTGTAGAAAATTTATTATCAAAAACTACAGTAAAGAAAAATGCATTTGCGCTGTGGGCACGAAAACATACACATAAAAATGCAAGTAACAAGCACATCACTAAATGTGACAATATACTGCACAGGCAGGAACAATACAGCACTAACCCTCATTTTGATATGAAAGCTAACGTTAACAGAAATGTAGACAAATCTCCAATCTTGGATAAAGTGTACTCTTCTTTTGCCATTAGTTAGATTACACAGCACCACTATATATAAAGCATCAATAAAGCAAAGGAAGACATTTTCCAGTAACACACATGCAAGACCAAAATAAATCACTTTTGTTATTGCATGTACTTCTATATACTTTTTAATAATTGTATTAAATGTTAACTGGCTAACCATTGTCCAGTTTCAACATTGAATTACATTTCATTCTGTAAATGTACACAGTTCTGTTCTTATTTAGTCCATATGTCACTCAGTTAGCTGAATGTTTTTACTCCCATCA